TTGGGTTTCCAGGGCAAAGCCCCCTGCAGGTTGTGCCCCCCCCCCCCCCCCTCCCCTTCGCCTGGGCTGCTAGCGGTGACCCCCACACACAACCCTGGATAATCGGGGTCACGAAAATGCTGCCGCCGCGGCTACGTTCTCCTTGGGTTCTGCTGTTTTTGTAGCCAGGATAAAAACGATCGGGGTTTCGAAAGTACGGAGACCGGCGGGAAAAAACAAACAAAAAAAAAACGTCAGCAAGCAGCGAAGAATCGAGGAGGAAGCCACACGCTTGACCCGCAGAGACAGGCCACGTGCGCGTGCACTCTTTTTTGTTTTGTAGTCTTGTTGCGTGCATGACGTTCACCTGTATCGTTTAAGCCTACGCTTGTGTCAATCGGCAAATAGTATTATTGCGCGAACGGCAGCGCTCGCCGCTAGGTGAAGTATGAGCTATTTTTCGATTGCGAGATTTCCAGCATTCTGTTGTCTGATGCTAACGCTTCAGCCTACATGTATATAAGGCCCAAAGTACTTTCGGTCAATGGACCACTTTCGCCTAACTGTTGTGCGGATTGTGCGGATTTGTTTCACCTTTAGTACGGGGTTCGATACCATCAAGCCTCTTCTACTTTCAGCTCTCTCGTTATTTTGAAGTATTGTATTCAGGTCCGTCTGTTTTTGCCCAAAAAACTCGACCAAAATATCGGCCATGCTTAAAAAAGGTGACCGAATCAATTCCGATGACAACCATTTTTGCTGGTCGTCTATCCTATGGGCCTAACACGCGGTGCAAAAAAAAAAAAAAACACACACACACACAAAATAAACAATGCAAAGTCACTTGCGGTGCGTCCAAAATCAAGGCCTTTTGCCCCCCTCCCCATGCGGGTTGGCGCTGTTGGCAAAGCGCTGTAAACATGCCACCCCAAATACAGCCCCCATAGCGTGTACGCTACAAAAACAAGCGAGTGGCGCATGGATAAGTGGAGTGAGGAGAGCTGAATTCTGAAACTTCGTAGATTGACTCATGTGTGAGATTGCCGGACACATGGCCGCTTTGGGTGAGGATATGTAGCTGCATACCTGAAACCTCACAGGTTGACTGGTGTTTGAGAGTGCCGGACACATAGACGCGTGAGGATAGCTGCATAGAGTGAAACCTCACAGGTGGAAAACGCGATGGATGCACACATACATACACTCGAGAAAAATAACGAAGGAGACTACTGCTGTTTGATGGCAGCGGGTTCAGAAATGGAGCGAGCGCGAGACTTGGTTCCATGGCACACCATCCCCTCCCATGCACAGGAGAGCCAACTGATGACACCAACCGCCGATTTTCTTTTCTAGGGACATGCGCGCGTTGCGGGATGTCGTCTTTAGTCCTTGTCAAAATCTCTACCTCGAGAAAAATACGAACCAGAGCCCAACCAACAACAACGTAGTTCTTCCCGAATGGATGAAATATTGTCGGCGCACGTTCACAGATGGATGACGCGGGGGGGGGGGAGGGTCGGATCGGGTTCCACTCTCGTTGTTGCTGCGAACGGCGCCATCCTTGATGGGAGTTGGTTAGCCGACTATCTAGTAGTGCGACCGACGCAATGTAAGACGGCAAAAAGGTCAGCAGCAACGACAATGAGAGACCCGGCCGGCCCACAAGAAAGTTCTTGAGGACCTACTTGTAACTTCACTGCCCTGGGAAAACAACACTGCGTCCACCCGACCAAGAACACCCACGTTTTTCTCATCGCACAAGTCTGTCGGTACAACCTTGGCGAGGTCGATACCGAGAATATGAAACACGGGGCAACAGCAAGAAATACGGAGACCCCGCACACTAGAACATATATGGTTTTGGTGGGGCTTTCTCGGCGGCTAGTCACGCGACTCTTTTCCCGTCATGTGTAGCGTGTTTTCTTCGGATACAGCCCGTCGGCGTGGTCGAATGCTAAACGAAAACAGAGGGCATCCCCATATCGCGGTAACGTGTATGTAGATATCGCCGTCGTCGACATTTTCACCTCGTCATCATCATCATTATCATCATCATTATCATTATCATCATCATCATCATTATCATCATCATCATCATCATCATCGTATCATCATCATCGTATCATCATCATCGTATCATCATCATCATCATCATCATCATCATCATCATCATCATCATCATCATCATTATCATCATCATCATCATCGTATCATCATCATCTTCTCATCATCACCATCACCATCACTGCCAATACAACCATCGTAGGGCCGGCCGGCCCTACCTCGCACCCACTCACCGTCGTCTACGTCTTTCCGCACGGCCTTGCGTCGCTTAACGCGGATGAAGCAGCCGCACACCACCACGGCCAACACCGCCAACGCCGCCAGCACCACGATGGCGATCGTCGTCGAGCCTGTCCCCCCGCCGGAGGAGGACTCGGCGTCTACGTCCACGACCGTTGTCCTGCCGTTGCAGCCGCACTCGACCCCTGTAAAGTCTTCGCTGAGGTAGTTCGTGACGCCGTCTTGGAAGTAGGTGCCTATTCGGTGTTTGTCGTCGTAGCCGTCGTTAGCGGGACGGTGTTGGTTTTGGCGGGACGGTGGCAGTACAGTAGTGGTGTTGGCTTTGGCGGGACGGTGGTAGTACAGTAGTGGTGTTGGTTTTGGCGGGACGGTGGTAGTACAGTAGTGGTGTTGGTGTTGGCGAAGGCGGTGTTGGTGAAGGGTGGGGATGTGTTGGTGAAGGGTGGTGCGGCGGTTGTTGCTCTCTGCGTGTTTTTGGGTGATGTTGGGGTGTTGGGTGTTGTTGTAGTAGTTGGAGTCATAGTGGCAGCGGTTGGTTGCGGTGATGATGGCGTCGGGGGAGGTGTTGCACATTGTTGGTGATCGTGAACCGGGCCGTTGTTCTTGTTAGTAGGTGAAGTGGTAGGGGTGGTGGTGGTGATGATGATGGAGGCGGGGGCGGTGTTGGATGATCATGCCGGCCTTTCGAGGGACCTCGACTGTGCAATCGTTCCCGCTTTGAGGAGTCTCGTGGTGTTTCCGCAAAATACGGTGCTACCACCTACAGCGGTAAGTACCCAAACAATTATCCCCCCCCCTTGCTGTGTTTCTGTTCGGTGGGGTAACATGCTTCTGAGAACAACATCGTATACGTATCCGGAAAACGGGGAGTTTTCCTTCAATGTTGGTATCCTTATTGTACGACGGGGACGCCTAGTGCTGTATGCATGCGCTCCAACACTACACTATCTTGCTTTTGTGTTTGCACTCTTGCATTACGGGGACGACCGATCGCGACCCAATACAAGGCATCTTGTCTTTTGTGATTATTTGCACTTGCATTGCCAGGCGCCGTCGAGCTGCGAGCTGGTGGGTCCGTTGTCCCCCTCCGGAAAGTCTGCCGCCAGCAGCCCTTCCGACGTGCACACCGCCGACAGGCTGGACACGCCCCCAGTGCTATCGTCCACCTCGTCGACGGTGCCGATCTCCCAGCTCCCCTGCTCTCGCCAAGCAGCAACAACGACGAACGGCGAACCGACACTTTCTTTTTTCGTGGGCCGTCATGTCTCCTCCGTAAGATTCTCGTGAGAGCGGTTATACAACTTGATCTTTGAGCCATTATTAGGTTGCGTGCGAAAGATATAACACGCCCTGCACCAAATTTCGGCGCTACAGCTACTGTAGTAGCTTAGAGAGAACGTCAAAACAAATAAACTCAGAAAGCTCTCCACGAGAAGGTTAAGGTCCCCAACAGACAGCCTGGGCTATGTACAGCAGCAACAGGCCAGACGGAACTAACCGCGGTGGAAACGTAAATCCAGGCGTCTCCCGCCGCCGCACCGCCCCCCAGGGCATAGAATGGGAACCCCCGGAGCAACGTGGTGGCCATGTCGTAGCAGCCGCCGATGGGGTAGCCAAGGTTCGTGATGAGAGAGTCCACGAAGACCGTGTCCTGTACGCCGTCAACAACCAACCAACCACCGAGGGCAGACACAAGAGGATAGGGTTGGTGGGCGGCGGTTGGACAAGAAGAACAACAACAACTACGGTATGCATAGTAGTGTAGCGCCAGTTGATGTCAGGCGAGCGCCGTTGTTGTTGTTGTTGTTGTTGTTGTTGTTGTTGTCTTCACATTAAAAACCGTTCCGATCTCTCTACCCAGTACTGGTACCTTCTGTCCGAATGCTATTACTACTGTACGTATGAATGGTACAGCAGTCATTACACTTGGGCTGGTGGCAATTAATCGTGTAGATTTCGAACAGCAGCAGCAGCACCGCCAGAAAGGGTGTCACGGGGGCACTGCTGTAGGAACTAATGTACGCACATTATGCTCTAGGTAGTCCCGCGCTAGTCTAGACTATAGATGACTGGCTGTTGTACCCGTACATGGTGAAAGATCTCGGAAGTTGTTGGTACTTGTACTGGTGTCGGTACAAAATAGTTCGTGGGAACGAGCTGCTCTCAATGTTTTATTATTCCGATCCACCTTGCTGCGAGCGCAGCTGCAGCAGCACTGTGGGTATATCTCGAATGGGTAGTCTTTCTGTGTGTGTATTTATTATTCCTTAAATCAAAGATGGCCGTCTTCTCTTGCCGCGGTTTCGCACAACGAGAGGGCAGACAGGAGAACACAACCGCCCTTTGGTCAAGAGGTTTGCACGATGAAAGATCGCGGGCATTGGTACTACAGTACATGTACTATTGCTGTACCATGACTACGAAATGCCAGCTCGTGGGACCATGTGTTATTATTCTGATCCTTCCTCTGCTGGAGCACAGCAGCAGCAGGAGGAAGGCGGCCTTATCTTGCCGTTGTACAAGCAAGGGGGCGAAACAACTGCTGTATTTGGTGAAGAGGTTGCACGATCCATCTCTCACAAACTGGATACTACAGTATCCGTGCGTGCATGTGCCGCGGGTGCGTGAGCTGAGTGGACGTTACAAGCAGATGGAAGAACAAAGCAGCGTGTCGAGGTCAAAGCCGGTTGGTGCCGAACAATGCGGGCGCGTCAACTCACCTCGGTACAGTTTCCCTCCTGCAGGCTCCTGGCCGAAAAGGCAGCGGAGTCGGGCGACTTGCTCCTCACCGGTCCATCGTTGGTCAACGCTCTCTCGCCTGCTGGAGAAGAAAAAGAGACATGGAGATGAGAGAGGTGCACAAGCAGTAACACGGCGGTGTGCGTGGAGCGCAATGAGCGCTGCGGCTGTCGACGTGCCGACAAGGCCAATTTGTTCCAGCCAACCCTTGTGCAGGGTTCGGAAACGCGTCATGTGTGCAGCCGGGAACTTGTAGCTGCGTTGCGCCCCGAAGCGGAGGAGAGAAGTCAAGCGCACAGCCGTCATCGCCACTGACCAAGCCTATCGATCTCCTCCTTTCGTGAGAAGTTGTACATATCCCACCTTTTGCAGCCGCAGCGGTGGGAAGGGAGGGCGTCCCCAGCAACACCAGTACCAGCGAGATGATCACCATCGCCGCCGCCGTCATCGCCTTATACCGACCTAAGACCTCAGCCGTCAGCCCCTCGTCCCTCGGTGCAGAGACGGCTCTGAAGAAGTAGCTGCTGTCGTGCAGATAGTCTATTCAGCAGCTGGGGGTGAACGTGTGTGCAAGTGTCCAACAGCAACGACGAGCCAAATATCCCCCCAACTCTCTTCACCGATCTGTAGGATGCCCTGTGACGCCAGCAACAATCGGCGAGGGCGGTGGTGGAGGCGAGGAATGTCGCCAAAAGATTCTGAATCGGAGACAGAGTGCGAGCAGAGAGATGCAGACCGCGAAGAGAAGTAAGTGCAGACGTATGCATGTGATACATGCCAACGCGTACGTCACGTGAGATATCACACCCCCTGCATTACATGCTCTCAAACGCTTTTTCTCCACACTCCACACACACACACAGCAGGAAATGCTGTGGAGGCGGTGCCGAAGAATGGCGCCACTGGAACCGTGTCGTCGAGAGCTTTCCAAAAACGTATCGCTTGACTTATGGGTCGTCTACGTCGTGGAGAACTGGAGTTGTGAAAACTGATCGAGGGGATCTGATATCCTGTGTCAAGTACACAACAACAGCAGTGGTGAGTGGAGATTTTTGGCTGGCAATAAACTCGCCGCATGGAGATAGTCTGCTGTATTGGGTCGGATATATTGTCAACGTGTGATGGAGACGCGGGCTTGGGGCGTGTAAGAGATCGATGACTATACGAAGGTTTGAAAAGACCGTCTCGTATAATGTACGACGGGTGCACCAGCACCCACCCCCCCCCCCCCCCCCCTAAAAAAGGAGAAAAAAAATGATTTTCTATGAAGTATGTGAAAAGACCGGAAAAAACCTTTAAACTTCCGACCTTTTTTGGGAGGGGGGGCAAAAGTGAAAAATTTCACATATCTCTTC